GAGTGTATGCTAAACCTTCCGCTTGAGTGAAACGTTACTAACTAGTCCCAATGTGGGTTGTTACCAGCTTAGTCACATCAGACCTGCCAGTTTCAGATCCTGGGCTTGGTGCCTTGTAAAAAGGACACGGGATCTGCGTCGCGTATAAGCTTCCTTTATATGGGGATGCCTTTGACCTAGTCGTACACACCGGCCTTCTGACCAAACTAAGCATTTTCCGACACACAAACCAATCACTTTGTTTATGTCGTATCTAGAGAATCGCGCAGTCGGCTCGAATAAAACACATTTATCCAGAGCCGAGATCAGTAACCAGTGGAGTATTTCAGATCGGTGGCAGGAACGTGGTCGTTTCTTCTCTGTATTAACGACGTATTTGACTTCTCTTACTGTAAACCATTTCTACTCGAGAATGACACATAGTAATCATCTAATTAGCTGAAATCTACTTGGTTAACAGCATCGCAGTTGTACAGGTTGAACTCAGAGCGCTCGTGCATTTGGAGAGGCAATGGAAAATACATGTCTAACATATGAAAAGCAAGGATATGTTATACCATTGCAGCGTGCTCGCATACGCGCTGAAAACACAGGGATCATACCTTGCAGCAAGTACTAAATTCAAGGATATTGGCCTACAGTAGTTCAGCTTGCATAGCTTCTCCAACTAAGCATGCTACAGTTCTGCGAGAGATAGATAAATATTTTATACTCGACTATGCGAGGCCCGCCCATGGAGGCATAAGCAGGTAGGTGCAACCGTACAGGCATTTTATGGCGACTGTCAAAACGACAGTAGAAAATTGTTCATACGTTCAGGAATGCAATTGTACAATGACGGTAATGTGAAAAAGTTTTGGGCTGTCGTGAAAATGGGACCCGTTTGTAAGGAAAGAATCAGTCTGCTATATATTGCGGTCATTCCTCAGGTAGTAACATATTAAAATTCCTATATTCCCAACTAGATAATTGAAGGGCCAACTCCGGAGCAGTGTAACACTAAACTGAGTTCGTGCGTACGCACCGCAAATATCAACGGTGAGATTTTAGAAAGAAGATACTTCTGTATATGCCTGAACTCGTAGGATGAAGAGACGATATTATATGCGGATGCGCAAGTTCTCGTGCAACTTACGTATCTAGGATGGTGTCGCAAGTTGAGCTGCCAGTGTAAAGTTATCGGCTGTGACGTTAATCGGTGGCAAGTCACATTCGCAACGTTGCAGTGTTGTTAAACGGATATTTAAGGCTTTTTAAAAGGAGAACGCTTGCCAGGCGAAAACCCACCACCTCCTAACATAATGGCGCGAAACTATTAATTAACTACTTAAAACTGGCTTCGCTCCCTGTCGAGCTTTATTTGTACGGTTATTCGCAGTCGCGTTGCCTTCATATTTTCGTTGTCTGATGCTTTAGGCGCGTGCCTAGTTCGTGCCTGGGTTCTATTCTGTCCTGACTAAATGGCTGGGCCTGGTTGGTAAGTCATGAAGTAAATTTTTTTGTGTGATGTGTTGATCCTCTGCAGAACCACAGAAAGTCTCCAAGGATTATCCAATGAAATATGTAATAGTATTGTTGAAGCTTTGAAAAATATTGTCCCAAAAATGCAGGGGTTCCCCAGGGTAATTTGTCAAATAGTTTGGAAACGTAGGTAGCCACGGCCAACTGGACGGGCAAAGAGCTTAAAGAGCTTCGAAAGTGTGGCAAGCAAAAGAAGGTATCCAACAGCAAAAATTTGCCAAACACCATTCATCTGCCCTTGCATCGACAGAAGAATGTGCCTTCCGAAGTCAAAAGGAGAGCTCCATGTAAGAAGTATGTGAAAGAGGTGTGGCTTGGCGAATTGTACCCACATGTTCAGACGTTATAAAAGTTTTATACTTGCAAGCTAACGAATTATTTGTCCGGTTCGCAAGTTGGAAAAGCGGCGGAAAATCTTTCGCTCGTTTCCAGGTAGAAGAAATGAATGCCTTGTATTGTAGTACTGTCGCAGCGATACACGATTCCTTTTGTGCTTTTCGCCGCATCTGTGACAACCTCGGAACAAAGGCAGCCCTCAAAGACGAGCAGACAGAGAGAGGAAACGTATGCCTCCGGACCCCGGACGATAGTTTTCAACAAGGACTGATCTGTTATACCCCCATATCATGTAATTGTAATTTAAATCTCATATATACATGTATCATAAGTAACGAACTATAAAGAGAAGCGAACACCTCACGGAGCAGTAGCGAATGAAAGATGTTTCCAAATTAGGAATGAAGATGGGACAGAAATGTTTGTGGGATCCTAATGCGCATACGCACAGTCTGTGGGACTCCAAACAGAGGAAATCCAGATGTGCGGAGTATAGGAAAGCATACTGTTATGGAGAAGCAAACGGACGCGTCGCCTCCGTTCTAAATTGGTAGGAATGTAAGCAGTCATGAAGGAAAACACACATAGCTTAATGCCGAATGAAGATAGACTGCAACAGAAAGCAAAGGAAGGAAAGAAGAGGGCCGGCAATAAAGCTTCTATGTAGCAGAAGTGGAACGCCAACGACGTTCTTTAGGCGATATGCCACCGTTGTTACTAAAAAAATCATGTATAATGCCCAACGATATAATTGCGGTAAGGGTGAGAGAGGGTTGCGCCGGCATAGGTAGGCAACATACGATCAAATCGCCAATGATGAGGGGCCCAGAGAGCTTAGCCCACGGAGGCTAAGTCGCTCAAGTCTCGGATGTCTGGAAGCAGTCAGAAACAGCAGACTAACCAGGCGACGCTAGCGTAGTGCCAGGCCAGGAGAGTTATCCGTCCATTTGATAAAGGTATACAAACAGAGGACGCGGTAAAGAAAGAATGGGGTTGGGAACGGAAGACTGTACTTAAAGGATATGGGTAAGCCCACAAAGTTCTCGAGATGTTGTGAGCAGACCGTTGGATCGGCTGGTGATTCATAAGTAAGGGCTTAGTAGTCGGAAAGCAGGAGACCATTTAGAAGAAACTGGAAGGTCGGCGCGTAGGGAGAAAGCCCTATTATTACTGTCGGAATGCTACCAGAGAGCGTTAGCAGTATAGACACATTAAGGAAGAAACGGGACATAATACTAATGATGAATCATGAGCAGCGATGCTCTTGAGGTTAGCGTACCAAAGCTTTGCGTCGGCAGAGCCTAGATCATTTAGATCCCTGCAATCCGAGAGAGTTCAGAATGCAGGAGGTCGTTCAGACGAGACCAGCCAAGTCAGCAAGCTGAAGCTTGGTCGCCAAACTGAGTTATAAGGAGACACAAAGGTACCTATTTTTATTAATGGACAGCACATCTTCAGTATCTGCGATTCGCATGACCACCTCTGCGAAACTGTCCCTGAGGTAGCGTAAGAATGCCCACTATTTAGTGCACTACCTTCAAGCACCTTGGGCGCACAACTCCTCCGCGTTCATTGTCGTTATCATCTTGACACCTAGGAGGATTTAGCGGCACCCACCGTACTCATTTTATAAGTTGCAAGCATAGAAAGGTGAGGAAAAATGACTTTAGGCTTCAAGGATCCATTCTTGACCCGCTTGTGTTCTCCTGCGGACAAATCCGCATTATGGCTGCACTATAGGAGGAGTAGGCGCCACCACCAAAGCATCCTGTAAGGGATAAGCGGTAGCATAACCCCCATCTATTGTCATCGTCAATGACCTCCATGCTTTCATCTTATCCATTACAGGAAGCATAACACCCGGTGGTCTCCGTCGGATCAGTTGCACACCTCTTACGGGCGCTAAGGATGGAATTACGAATACAAAGGTATTTAGCCATTTCTGATTAGTTCCTGCCCTGCTTCCGGTCCCTCACTGACACACTGGTCCAAACGTTGCACGGAACAATTGGTATCCACAACCCTCCGGCTTCGCTTTTTCAAATGGCACCTTGCCGATATTCAGAACGTTCAACAACCAGTACTGCCTGGCCTACAGACTGGCAGGCTCAAAATTCCATAAGTATGCCCCGTATAGGAGCTTACAAGGCAATAACCAAGCTAGCTAAACAGGCAAAAAATAAAACTTACATATAAACCTCGGCCTTCATTCTTTGTCTCCAGATTTATCTCCCATCACTTTCCGCATTCTTAGGCCACACGGTTCGTGGAAAATACATTAGGTTAATGAACTTTGAGGTGCGCATAGTAAAGATATACTGCAAGACCTAAGCCTTGTATACGGTGTTGAAATCTATTGTTGCTGTCGCTACCCCTAGGGCTGTTAATAGAAATGTTCACAACATCGCCTAAATACCAGCTTTACATGTAGCGCTATGTACCTTATTAGATGGTAGTTGCTAGTGAGCCTTAATGGAGGTGTTTTACTTAAGTCTGAATGCTAGCTAACTTACTCCGCCGTTTCCAACTATAATCGGAATGCCACCGAATATATATATATATATATATATATATATATATATATGATGTCCATTTAAAAGTTCTGCAAAAGAAGGTTCGAAAATGAAAAGACTCTATTGCGGAGTAGTGGAAAAGCCAACAATATTCTCGAGGTGATGTGAACAGACCGCTAGGTCTTCCCATCCCAGCTCATTATGGTCACAGTAGTCGAAAGGCAGATCACTGAGACGGGACAATAATGTCGGCTCATAGAGAATGCCGTAGTAATTTGTTGAATACTAATGGCGAAATTTGGCTGAAATGGATATGTTAACGATGAATGGGGGTGGTATATAAACAAGGATATAACATGACCAGCAATGCTCTGCAGTGGAGGTCAACAGAGCGTTACGTCGTCAAAGCTTAACTCATTTATATCTCAGAAGTCCGAGAGGAGTCAGAAAGCAGTAGGCCGTTTAAAGCAGAGCGGATAACTTAGCAAGATGAAGCTTGGTCGACAAATTAAGTTGGGAATAAAAATAATTAGTGTCATTAGAAAAGAAGCCGTTTGAGACGAAAGTGGCTATATGAAAGGGCAGTAAATCAACTAAAGTAGATAACTTGACCTAACTAGCCTAAAGGTTATGGCGGCAATCTGGTTAATTTACCTGTTACTGCAGGGGAGGCGGGAGTGGACCGGTCCGGCGAAGCCCCAAACTGGAGCGCGTAAGGTAGTACAGAATAATGGCAGCTTAAACGAAGCCTTAAGTATAAAGATGTGCAAATTAGCCCCTTTCTGTACGCAATGAAACCGTTTTATTTTTATATCTACCTTTGCATTTTACTTAATATATGTGAAATTGGTTACAAGTATTGCATAATTGTATTACGAAATATACCTTAATTCTTCAAACAAAACATATTATTTAATACATTTTTTATCATAATAACCTACAATAATTATAGTTTTGCTATTTTCCTATTACGGTTGTTCATTAATAACCTCTTTGTAAGTACATGATTTGAAATGAAAAAATATGATTAACGGCTTTTACATACACCACTTACTGGCGTATACACATTTAGTGTTATTGGCCTTATTTGAAGGTTTGCTTCTTATTTCTAACTTTTCAAATAATTTGTGCAGTGACCTATGTTATTGGCAGTCAAAGCTATCCGCTTCATCATTAATTTCGCTTCCGGTCTGCTCTTTACTCTCGTTATAGTGGCATAATTATATTATGTAGCGAAAATATACTTTACGATGTGCATAACTAGGTTGCATATATGTCACGTAGTTATATCAACTTACACGCATTTATATTTTAGACATAATAACTATGAACAACAGCATTAATTCTTTCGCGTAAACTAATTAATACATTGGTTAAATTTGCGTATAATGATTCCATGACAAACTGGGTGCTTGTTTTTGAAGTACACCTGATTACTACAAATCCAGTTAAGCCACTTGGCTATTTAGCTCTCAATTTTAATTTGATTGTGGCGTTGGTGTAATCCCTCATTTAAATGCCTTTTCTTCCTCTTTCTCTTCCATTTTCGTTCGCTGTCTTCCTTACTCCACGTGATCTACACAGCGGGGACTGCAAGTGCAGGGGCGTGGGCAGTAATTGCTTAACCAGGGCGTGTTTCGTGTGTTTCGTTTTAGGTCCATCACAACCTTCTAGCACCTTAACATTTCCTGGCTCAACGATCCGCTCAAGAAGGAACACTCAGGGGATTTTCCTATCGTTCTAATCCCATTGGAATTGGATGCTGACGTAGATAAAGGCATTTTGCTTGGCGCTCGTTTCCGTTGTAACGCGCGACTGCCCTGTGTGTTGTACATCCTCCCTTCCCCTAGCTATATGGTCAACGGTGTTGCTATTTATAGCTAGATACCAAGGGATCGTTCACTGTACGAATAAATGTTCCCCTGCAACCCGATCTGCCTTTTGGATCGCTATCACCACACCAACACAACGGTCTGCAACGAATACCTTAGAATTCTTCTACTCGGCGCTCCTACTTTCACGAGATACAGGACTTGAAATTTTGAAAAATCTCTCTCTTTCCATTTTTTGCATTCAAGTTTGGCTTGGAAACGTATGCTATAGAGACTGATTGTGAAAAATTTGCTCATTTCTATCATTTATTTTATTGCTCTCATGAAAGCAGATTTCTTTGACGGGCGCTCCCGGCTCGACCTGGTACTATCAAGATAGGCTCTCCCCTAACAAGCAATCTGTTTATTGTGCCAACAAGCTAACCAGGACTCCATACCTGCACTTTGACTTTGAATTTCTTAAGTTACCTGCACATAGGAATGCAAGCAATAAGTGAAGGTCCTCTGCCCTCATCTCGGTACACTGGGTTTGTTATCAGGATGCTCACCGGCATTTATATGTCGGCACATTGATTGTTCTTTGTCTTACTCCGTACATACGTGTGTTCGATTTATAAATGTTGCCTAATGCTTGCTGCAATGATGATTGGATCATTGGTTTTGGTTTCTCCGCGTCCTTGCTCGTTTTTGTCCCTGCTTCTGTTTGTCATTTCTATCGTTTAAGTTTTAGATATACAAATATTTGTCCAGCGTATTTTTCGTTGCACGTCTCCATTTTCGTATATCATTATTATTTCTTGTTTGCGCATGTCAACCGACACTGCTGCTTGTGGGGAGCATAGCTGTGATAGAGTAGTGGAGAAAGGAATTCAGTGCGATAGCTGCTTATCTTGGTACCATAATGTTTGTTCTTGGTAGGCCGATTAGTCTATTGCAATTCTATATCCAGCATTATATTCTATTCATCCTAATTTCATCGCTTATGCTTGGCGAAAGGCTGCTCGCTGGCTAGATATCCGAACAAACTCCTCGTAGTGCCAGCTGAGTGGTTGGGGTTCATACCGTACCAGTACATAGTTCGGTGGCAGTGTTTCAGGACGTGGTGCATTTTCATCTGGCACGCCTTTTTCCTATAAAAGCCACAAATGTCTGCATATCAACACTCTGACATGGCGGATGTGACTCGCCGCAAATTGAAGTCACTGCCCCATAGATATCCGGAAAATGTTATCCAACCCGCGGACATCAGTCGCTTATTCTCACATTTCTGACGATTACAAGCGATCAAAACGCTACGGCACATTCACAACAACAAACCACACACAAACCATACACAATTACATACTTATATACACCTATACACACCGTAACTTCTATGCCAAACGCACTTTTGCACATTTTTGTTCACACTATGTTAGCTTAACCGGACCATGCCTGTACACGCGTGCCACGCAATGTCGTGAATAAAAGTACATCTATTTAGTTATTTATTTAGTTGATGGGGGCACCTGGTGCAGTCTCCGCATATTGCTGCTGGACAAATTGTTTCCGATGACAACAATTTGTAGAGGCTCAATATAGCAGAGAGCCTGAGTAAGAAGCATAGCTCTATTATTGAAGCATTGCGAGCAAAGGTTGGCGTGTTACATTTACATTTTGAGCATTAGGCGCATTTTACTTAGCTCGCTATGGGTAGACTGTGAAATGTGCTCACTTGCAAACGAGAAGAACCGGTAATCCGAGAGGCTAAGGTCAGACGTGGCTTGCATAAAAAGCGCGCCTAGAGCAAACTTCGTATTGTCGGTATATCACCGCTCGTTTTCAGCAAACGGATTTGTAGCGTTTGTACTTGGAAGAGGGTAAGTGTGCTGCACAAGAGGGGCCTTGCAATGCAGATTTTGGGAAGTTTAGTATCCGCTTTGTCTTGACCTACTTCTCAACCAAGCAGACCTATTAGCTAATCGAACAAATGGTCAATATCAGTTGGCCCCCGATACGTTCGCTTCCAGAACCAAAAGCAGCTAATTATTAACTCTAAATAATACTCACGTTAGTTCTCGGTTGTCATCATCATTCATTATTATACACGTTAGTTAGAGGTGTAATGCACCTCAGCTACTGTGCCGAAAAACATAAAAGTAGAAGAAAATTGCTTTAACATTTACATGCTAGATGTTGTCGTTCGGCAGCTAACAGCGGTCTCGGTTAGAGAAATCCGGTTGCATCTGCTCTAATGGAAATTAGGATAAATCCAGCTCAATTTCAACTTCCTCAGATAGGTGTTGTCACCTACTTCCATTTTGTCTCCTCACAGCGCACAATTGGATCACATCTTAATATTCGGAAGCTCGCTACAGAAATACCACACTTGCATGACTCCAAAGTTGCGTCATTGATATGCTTGGTCCCTGGGGAAACTCAGGTTGCAAGTGAGCGATCCACCCCGACTGCATCGGCCATTTTAGTGGCAACGGAAACGTAATCTCAGCAACCGTGATTTGTTCAGAGGTCAAGCTTAAAGAAATGCTTCCTGACAACGCTCTTAGGTGCGCAAACTTACCTCAGTCTGCTGCAACTGCGAGACGACTATTCAATAATGCCAGGTTTGATTGCTGTAGAATAAAAATGAGTGTTGACCGGGGTCGCCGAAGTAACTAGAGTAGGGGCTATCAGCACTACTTGGTCTCTGAGGGCCCAGGTAGAATTCCCAGTCAACGCTATTGCAAGTGTAGCAAAATACGTGGTACTCTCTCGGGTATTGCGTCCGATGGGAAGGGTAAAAGTGCGGCTGACACCGGAGAAAAACCACGGCATACACTGCTGAATGTTTGGTACACAAATTCTTGTAGCGTGCAGAAAAGTGGGGGAGCTGGCGCTAAGTTGTTTATCCGCCGACGTTATTGCAATCACCGAGACGTGGCTCTCACCAAATGACTTAATAAATGCATGTCCGCTAGTCGACTTCGTAAGGTATGGAACGGACCGTCCTGGGTATCCAAGTGAAGTGGAGTGCTCTTGCTTATAAGGTGTCACTACAGTCACCGGGAAGCACCGTTTACCAGGGGCACACAAAATGTTCAAGTTACTTCTTGTTTTATGAGGGTGCAATGTAAAGTTGAATTAATTGTTTGTGCTTATCACAGCTCGACCTCAACAGGAGGAGAGGACAAGGAGCTTAGTTAGCTACTAAAGCAAGCTGTGCCTTCTGCGCCAAGTTTTGTGATTGTAGGCGACCTGAAACTATTACCTGCCGACTAGGAGCATGCTCTAAACATGTCGGACTGCTTGGAGGAGAACGTGGTACAGTGGGTAAAAGAAAACGCTCTTGTGCAGCAGGTCAATTTTCTAACAACAAGACTTAAGGAGAACATTTTCTCTCCCTTTGATGCTGTGATGGTCTAGTATGGTTGTTCGTCAGTCATAAATGTTGCGCCTCCGATAGGTAAGAGCGAGCATTTCTTTCCTTCTCCATTTGTGTACCGAGGCTCTCAGCTCAAGTTTGACTGACGCAGAAACTAAGCCGGATTAATATAATGCTTCTGAGGGATACAACCGCACGCAGTACCTGGTTTCTTGAACAAGAGGAGGCAACGCTGAAAGAGAGGTGGCGACTGATCAAAGTGGCCTCTCGCAATTGCTAGCAGGTTTTGCTCCCTTGTGCAGGTGCCATTCATATAAGTTTTGCTGGTGGCTCCGAGGTATTAATCTGGTGCTTACACGGCGGGATATCTATTGGAAAAGGTTCCATGTGTCCGGTGGTTTCCGCAGGTGGCTTGAGTAAAACATAAGTCGAAATTTCGCAGTCAAACTGCAGAGGAAAGCCAGATAGTCCTACTAGCTTAGGCTGGTGCAAAACACAAAAAAGAACCAAAAGCTTTATTACAG